CCTGGGAACCCCAAAGCACTCCACCTGCAATAAAAACATGCCCCAGCGTCTGCCTCTCTCTGCACTCTGCCTTGACCTCCCCACGTGACCCCTCAAGGTGTGCCAAGCAACTTCCTCCAGGACTTGTAAGTAATAAACTTCTCTATTTTAATTCCTCTTGTATCTGTTGTTGAGCCACAGTTCACTATCTGACATCCTGTGCTCCACTTAATCAGTGATGATTTAAGAAATTCATAACAGAGGGACAGAAGAATTGACATAGAAAAACATGGTTAATGTAACTTAACCAGAAAGACACAGCAAGATCAGGAATTAGTTAGGACAAAATCCTGAATTTTCAAAAGTTTTCAGAACATGTTTACATAACCCCCCATCCTTTTCATCCCGATCATTTATTCAGGAGGAAACCTGAAAAAGAACACTCTGTCTTTGGGAATAGCTATATTTAATAATTAAACTGCCTAACTTAGGAGAAAGGTGAGTAAAACTGAATCAGGCTATCAGTCTATTGTTGCAAATTTCAAATAATGTTGAAAGTCAGACGTAAGTCAATAGCAGTGAGACATTCCTGAGCAGGGGTTGAGAGTCCCCTCTGTTGGGAGTGGGTGGAGAGGTCCTTACTCTCCATGCTGTGCTCTCTTCCAACTTACAGCTTGCAACAGAAATCACAGGTTAGGTTCCTTGATCATTCATCTCAAATGCAGTTAGTCCTTACATTAGACATATACAGCCACCTGCAGCTTGGTTTCAGACGGTCCCATCAGAGAATGAGCCCTTTCCTGTGGGCATCTGCAGGTGACCCATGTGGTCCAGCCAACATCCATGATGGTTTTATAGCTTATGGCCCCACGGAAGGGTGTCTTAAGTCTGTAGTAGTCCCAGAATCTCAGTTCTGTTCATTGAGCTTATGTCTGTTTTCCAAGATTGAAATAGTCTGTTACAGATGTTTTTAGGTTTCAGCCTACCATCAGATCCAGGCAATTAGGTTCTCTGAATTCAGGATTCCAAAAAAGCCAGTGACTTTTCTTCTTTGGCAGCAGCAAAGACGAGAGACTACAGGGTCAGACAGTGGAGTTCCGAGTTCTTCTAAGCCCCCCTTATCTTGTCAGTCTTAGAATCCAAATTGACCTATTCAAAAATACGCACAATTAGTCTAGAAAATCATCAGCCTCTAAGAGTCAGACATCTGATTTTACAGAAACTTATTATCAAACTAAAAACTGCTTTTTAAAACTCAAAAAGATTATTTCTCCTTTTATGTTGTCTGCCTTTTCTCATAGGCTCCAACAGGCAAAAATCATGGGAACAATAATCAGTTATGAAGATTTCAATACTCAGATGTTCAAAGATTTTAAATTTTAATCCATCCAAGCAAGAAGTCCTGTTCTACTAACACCTTTTATTGGGCAGCTTTCCCAGACTGGAATAATCCCTTTAGCATTTATGAAATTACAAGCATATAATATTTTACACCATTTTTTAAAATCATATACCCAGAAGCAATAGCTACAAAATAAAAAGCCATTTTAGAAAGTCTCTCCCTCTCTCTCTCACTTTTTTTTTTTTTGCAAGGTTACTCAAACCTTAGCAGTAAATTCAACACTTTCAGGATTAAAATTACCACTATTGAGAGATCCCAGCTGGAATGCAACAGGCTGCTGCACCAGTGGGTAGAGTGTTTTTTTCCCCCTCTTCTTTTTTTCTGATTTGTCTAAAGTTTGTGCCAGCCTTGGGATTGACTTAATGTTATTTCCTCCCACTTGGAGGAGTGAGCAATACAAACATACAACATTTTGGCTCACCCGAAATGTTTTTTGGGAGTGTTTGAACCCTTTCTCTTCCCATCTGAGGGGGAGAACAAAACCTAAAGACATCACCCAGACTGTACTTTTTAATTCCTTCACCTTAGCTACCACGGCCAAAAGCGACCAATGGATCCAAATCTTCTAGGGTTGGACCTATCATTTTCAAATTCCATAGGTAACCTTCACCTTCCAGAACAGACGGCATCTCAGCTGCTGTTTCATACCACAGATGACTAGGTAGCCATTGGGATGTGAAGGTTCATAATTATATCCCCTTCATACTTCCTTTCTCCAAGCACTGTTTTAGCTATGTTTCAATGAGTCAGGGTTGTTTTTAATAAATCCCACTTCCGACACCAACTTTCACCCCCAGTTTAAGGATTTGCTAAAAGAATCCACATTGTATAGTTATACTTATGGATAAGATTTATTACACTGAAAGGATACAGAGCAAAATCCAAAAAAGGGAAAGGCATATTGGGTAAAGTCTGAAGAAAGCCAGGCACAAGCTTCCAAAAGGTTTCTTTTGTTTTTGCTTTGCCCATTGAAGTCTTATAGGATGTGCTTAATTCTTCCAGTAATGAGTTTTGGCAACATGTGTGAAATGTTGTCTACATGCTCATTAGAGACTTAGTGCCCCCGGTTTTTACTGGGTGCCGTTTATGTGGTACCCTGCTATGGACTGGATGTTGTGATTCTACAAAATTCATATGTTGAAGCCTAATCCCCAATATGATGGTTTGGAGGTAGAACCTTTGGGTGGTAAATAGATGAGAGGGTGGAGCCTTCATGAATGGGATTAGTGCCTGTGATGGTTAATTTTTACATGTCAATTTTATGGAGTGCTCAGATTAAACACTATTTCCGGATATGTCTTCTAGATGAAATTAGCATTTGAAATGATGGACTCAGTAAAGTAGGTTGTCCTCCCCAGTGTGGCGGGCCTCATCCAGTCAGCTGAGGGTCTAAATAGAACAAAAGACAGAAGGAGGAATTTGCTCTTTTTTTCTGCCTCACTGCATAAGCTGAGATATTTCATCTCAACTTCTTCTGACCTTGGACTGGGATTTACACCATTGGCTCCCCTGGTTATCAGGCCTTTAGACTTGGACTAAATTACACCACTGGTTTTTCTAGGTCTCTAGCTTGCAGATGGCAGATTGTGAAGTTTATCAGTCTCTATAATTACATGAGCCAATTCCTCATAATAAATCTTCATATTTATATATGCACATTCTCCAATATTTAAATTGATTCTGTCTGTAAGGCCTTAAAAGAAGGGTTCAGAATGCCAAGAGATAGGTGTCACTCAAAGAGGTTTTATTTTTTCAATTTTTAAATTTTTTTTAAAGATTTTATTTATTTATTTAATAGAGAGAGACAGAGAGAGAGGGAACACAAGCAGGGGGAGTGGGAGAGGGAGAAGCAGCATCCCCGCTGAGCAGAGAGCCCGCTGTGGGGCTTGATCCCAGGACCCTGGGATCATGACCTGAGCTGAAGGCAGACACTTAATGACTGAGCCACCCAGGTGCCCTTCAAAGAACTTTTAAAATAAAGTCGTATTTCTTTTCTTCAAAATACTTTTAAGCAGTAATTAGGTATGACCTGTTCTGGTTTTTCTATCCCCTGATCATAGATTTATTTATTTTTGTTTCTGAAATTGGAAGAAAAGACATTTCTGTCTTAAGAGGAATAGAAAAGAAGAGGTTTATCTGTAGTTAAGTTTTGTGGACATAGCTGGTCCTGCTTCCCCAAGAGAAGTTACCTTTCTTTCTTTAATAACAGAGACAATCAATAGCAGTGGCATACGGTTATAGTTATAACTTTTCCTCTCTCATCTGGGTCATTGAGAAGCAGGCTTTCTGCATTCTGTAATAAAAATATTACAAAGTACCAAACCCGCATCTCTCACTATTTAAAACAAGAAATAAAAATGTTGCAAGCTATTTTAGGGTTTGGTTACTTTTCCTTACTAACTTAGAAATTGTGATGCCATGCTCTAGGAACACTGGTCACAATTATTAAGCTTGTCTTTTTGTAGCTCAAGGAAGAATTTTCATATAGAAAACGGTCAGGAATAACTCCGTCTAAGAATGCAAGCTTTATCAAAGGTTTCTTGGAATACTGGTGGAATGGTGGAAGGGTCTGGACTTCATTATTCTACTCCTTGCTTCAGACTTGGCTGTGCTGCTTAGTGGTAATTTCACCTCAGGCAAGTGATGATCTATTTGAATCTCAATGTCCTTATCTATAAAATGTGATACAAATCTCCCAGTCACAGTGTTGTTATAATGAAAATAGCATACGTAAAATATTTGACTTCATACCTGGCACAAAGGAGGGGCTTAATAAATTTATTAGTCCTACTAAAAAGACCTACTAAAGAACAAGGACTATAATGTTCACAGAAGTTCTATTTGTAATACCTCACCTGGAAACAGCACAAATGATAGTCCCAAATGACCATCAGTAGTAGACTGAATTTATTTATTTGTTTATTTATTTAAGATTTCATTTATTTTCCAACAGAGAGAGAGAGACAGCAAGAGAGGGATTTTTTAAAATGTGGGATATTCATACAGTGTAGTACTATAAAGCATGAACTACCATTAGCACAAAAATATGGATAAATCTTACCAACATAATGTTGAATGACACAAAATAATACATTCTGTATAATTCCATTGAAAGAAAGTTCAAAAACAGGCAAAATTAATCTGTAGTGATAGTGGTCAGAAGTCATAATCTTTTGGAGGGAGGATGGATTGGAAGAAGGAAAAAGGGAGCCAGCTGGGGTGCTGAAAATGTTTTATGTCTTCACCTGCATGGTGGTGGTTATGTACGGGTACATGTATGTGAAAATTCATCAAACTATACACTTAAGGTTTGTACATTATACATGTACGATTTATACAGATATAAATAATACATCAATAAAAAAACCTGTTCCCTTAAACCCAGGAGCTGGATTTTTGTATCAATATCAATTTTATTTATTAGGAGTGTATCTAGCAGTAGATATAGCATGCCAATAGCTGGCCATCTTGCAGGCTGTAGTCAGTCTGTCCCTTGTAAGTGGCCCCATTTCAGAGCTAGCCTGGAGCTGACAGGCATATTATAAGGGTCATGCTCCATCATCATTGACAGCTGGAGATGCCATCACATGTCATTACATGTCATCGGCAGCAGAGCACAGGGAAAACCAGGCGGTGGACTGTGCTTCCTACCCTTAGGCTTGGAGACACAAGCCCCAGCAATGGAAGGATTAAAAAGCCTCAATTTTAAAAAGACAGGGGGAGGGGAGGGAATGTGGGCTGCACAATTTATAAATAGACACTCCCCGAGGCTGCCTGATGATGAAATGGTTGTTTAGTAAATCTTTCTCCCTTAAGGATCCCATTATCGGAGAGCATTTGAAAATACCAGTTTCATTTTGTCTTTTGGGGGAGATCCTGGGTTTCATCAGGTCAGCCCTGTTGGATGATATTTCTCTCTCTCAAATTTAGGGGCAGGTCTTCGAGAATTTGAATCACCTACACATGGAGCACAAAGATGATGACGATGATGATGTGTCTTTCGCCAAATGGATGAGCAGCTTCTGGGGTCACGGCTGGATAGAAGAGAATGAGAGAGGACTCCGGGACCACCACAGATCACAAGATGCCACTTACAGGAAAACCTCCCTGCCCTGCCCAGTGAGTTATGATCAGAGAACCAGGGGAGAGCTGGACTAGGGGAGGGGGATTTCTATTAGATAATTTTTGAAGAGGCCTTTGGTATAAAATCTTCTCTGGTTAAAAATCAGTACTTCTAAACCTTTTTATACCCACAAAAGTCCCTTTTGTTATTTTATCTTGTCCTCTGGGGGACCTGATTTTCATTTATTAGGTGAAGATTTCTTCATTTTTAGTAGCCTAAGATACCTTTAACTACTATTCAGAGCTCCTGATAAACCTGAGACAATTCTCCTGAGGGTTAATATGATTCCAGCCAAAGGAAAGAAACTTGATGTTATAAATTAGTCTGTGTAGCATCAGGCATGGATCAGTGTGTGATTTCCACTACTTTTTTTGAAATACTGAAAATAGCTCCATGATTTGATGACCTCTAAAGAACTGGCGATTCCACATCATAAATCACTACCTTTGATAAATTTGATACACGTTTTCTTCTGGTTCCCCTTTGGTTTCCCGAGGGGAGAGGGAACCCAAATTTTTCTGCCCTCAGCACTACTTTTCCATAGGGCAGCAGAGCACCCAGTGTCTAGGGAGCAAGATGGAAGCAGGAGAAATCTCCTGATTGCAGAACGGGTGGGCCTGACCAGGTGAGGACTCAGCGGCAGGTGCAGGCAGCAGTTCTCTCCACTCAGCGGCACCGCTGGAAGACTCTGCAGCGGAGACCTGCATCCTCTGCTTCACAGTTACACAGCAAGAATATAGCTTTTCTTTTTTGCAGGTCACTTAGGATTCTAGCTATAGAGAATACCTCCCCAACTTGCTTCTGTCAACCCCAGAATCATGTACGTTTTGGGGCAATGTTATTTTATTTCAGTTTTAGCTTCAGAGTTCCCAGATGCATAATGCCTATGAGGGATATTACGATGGGTATGGCAATCTCTTTTACTCCCCGTGACTGGCAAATTTGAGGAATGAGACCTCTTTAAGACACAAATATTTGAAAGTAGATTTCTTACCAAATGCATACTCAGGGACAAAGGGCAAGTTGCAACAGCTCTTTGAGCTTCAGGTTCCTTATGTAAAAAAGACGAGAGGCTGGACTGGATGATCTCTGGGAACTCTTCTAACTGTCCATGATTCTGTTGTAAATAAACACCTGTTTATCACTCTCTCATTTTAACCTCTTATGTTCCACTTCAAGTGAGGTATTCACAATGTGTGAACCTGAAGTACAATTAGTTTCCAGTTTCCAGATAGCTAGAACCAAGAAGAAACAAAGAGAAAAACTGTGATTTGCTATTTATCTCAACAGCCCTTTAGTACTGTTGAAAATATGAAAACAAAATATGAAATAAAAACAAATGACATAAAATACAGTTTTGTTGAATAAATTTTAGCTTCTATTAGACCTTTAAAACTGAGATAATCCACTAGGGAATCCAGTTTTAGGTTGCAATGTTGTTTGCCTCAAACTATTGGGACTCAGCAGAATTTGTTACCTGGGGCATTTGTACACAGTGTCTGTATATCTCTTCCTGCTCATACTAGCTTCGGGCATTTGCCCGAATTAACCTGTTTAGATTCTCTAAGTCAACAGTGAATTCCAAAATTATCAGACTATATGCAGAAAGTATGTGTTTATTTAAGGAGACAAAGCATGGAATAAAAATGAGCACCTGACCGAATAGAGTAGAGAGTGTGAGGGCAGAACACAGAGCAGGGGACCCAGGGTGACATGGGCACATCCTGGGAAATAGTCAGGGGTCTGAATGTCCAGTTCCAGTCACAGTACGCCATATATTTATGACAAGAGCCTGTATTGGATAGTTAACTTTTCTAATTCTAAAATGTGCTCAGATTTTTCTTACTTTAGAGATCAGAGAACAATGAGGTTTTCATTTTGTGTGTGTGTGTTTTGCTTTGAGCTCAATCAATAACTTAAAAAGAAAAGCTTACTCTTAGCCTTGTCTCTTTTTCTCTCTCCCCACTGCTCCCATCTAAGGCTCTTCGCTCTCATAACCTATTAATAACCTATATCCATCCCTATTACATGCTTAGGAAGAGAAGAGCTTTCCCTTCCTTTCCCATTTGAATGTGGTTTCTGGTTTGTTTTTTGTTTTTGTTTTTTTTAAAGATTTTATTTATTTATTTGACAGAGAGAGACACAGCGAGAGACAGAACACAAGCAGCGGGAGGGTGAGAGGGAGAAGCAGGCTCCCCGCGGAGCAGGGAGCCTGATGCGGGGCTCGATCCCAGGACCCCGGGATCATGACCTGAGCCGAAGGCAGATGCTTAACGACCTAGCCACCCAGGCGCCCCTTGAATGTGGTTTCTAATATGGTTTTTAGCCTCACGATTCCTGCAAAACCATAGCAATGGAGCCTTAATTCATTGAACATATTTATTGAACACTTACTATGTGCCAGGTATGCAGGGCACGTAGGGGGTACAAGAAGACATACATGATCTCTGTGCTTGTGGAACTTCCAGTCTAGTGGAAAATACAAATCTGGCAGAAAGAGCAAGGCAGACAAGGGGTAAAAGCTTGGTCCTTCTCAGAGAACACCACTTTTTGACAAGACTCAATATAATAATCTGTGATCACTGACTTAAAGTAAATTAAAAAACCTATCGTTACTGTCCTGATGTTCTTGATGAAGAAAAGGAAAGTAATGTGAAGTCTCTTTTGTGAACTGAACAGATGTCCCTTCTACCTCCCAGCACCACATGAATACAAACTTGAAGTAAAACAGTTTCCATATTCCTTATTTATTCTGCTCACTGAAAGTGGCTTTTTAATACTTTAGTGTATCCAGCTCTCTAGTCATCTTCTTTAGCTTACCATGGTTCTCTTAACATTGTTCTGCATGTTCTTCAGCTTATCATGGTTCTCTTAACATTGTTGGGCCTAGTGGTAGGGAGGATTACGCTAAAATGAAAGAACTCTTCAAGGAGGAACTGAGTCCCCTGGCCTAGGGCTTTGCTAACTCCGGATGGACTTTTCCAGGGCTTCCTCTATGTTCCAAGGTAGGCACAGTATGTGCTTGCCCACATGATATCATTTGAGGGGATATAATATGAGCCTCTACCTGTCTGTAACCAATGGATTTTTTTTCTTTTTAAAAATAATCACCTTTAACCATTTTTTAATATTCTCTCTTCATATTCTCAACTTAAAGCAATAGAAGATATTTTTAATTTTTATTTTTTTCCCTGAATGACCTAGTCAGGTCATACTCATGGCTACACACTCTCATCATTATAGTATCTCACTACAGGTGGTTCTCCTGCAGTTGCTCACTACATGGGTAGGGTGGAGCAAGGTCCCCTGAGAGGATTTCTCACAAACCCGAAGAGAGGGAATACCCTAAAGTTTCATGACTAACGTAGTTTCTTGTTTTTCAGTTTAAATTTATGTTTCATTTCAGTAGGAGACAATGCCTTAATCCCCAACAAGAAACTAGTTATAATTTTTTTTTTTTTAAGATTTTATTTATCTATTTGACAGTGAGAGACACAGTGAGAGAGGGAACACAAGCAGGGGGAGTGGGAGAGGGAGGAGCAGGCTTCCCGCGGAGCAGGGAGCCCGATGCAGGGCTCCATCCCAGGACCCTGGGACCATGACCTGAGCTGAAGGCAGACGCCCAACAACCGAGCCACCCAGGTGCCCCAGTGTTTTGGGTTTTTTTTTTAAGATTTTATTTATTTATTTGAGAGAGAGAGAAAGCGAGCACACGCGGGGGGAGGGGCAGAGGGAGAGGGAGCCGAGCAGGGAGCCCAATGTGGGGCTTGATCCCAGGATCCTGGGATCATGACTGAGCTGAAGGAGACACTTAACCAACTGAGCGGTCCAGGCGCCCCAAAACTAGTGATAGTTGCAGGCAACAGTGACAATTCTGCGGAAGGACTTTTAGTGTAATGTTCTACGGCTTTGTTTTCTGTCTTCTACTAGATGTAGAGGAGTTGCTGGGAAGGCAGAAGAGTAGAGTGGCTAAGGAGGGTGAAGGGAGGGCTCCAGAGGAAGCCAGCCTTCCAGGGTCTACCACTAGCAGGATAACTGATTCAGTTACTTACCTCTCTCGGCCTCAGATTCCCCATATGTAAAGGGGATTGACGGCAATAGCGGATAACGCATAAGGGTGTAGTGAAGATTCAGTGAGTAATTTCTCTATGTAATTAGGACATTGCCTGGTACCTAATAAGCACCTATGCTTATTATTATTATGTGTTGGAAGTGTTGAAAGTTAGAATTTTTTTTCCCAGATGATGTGTCAGTTAATTGCTGCAAAAAGTCTTTCATTTTGCCTTTCCCTCCTTCTCTTTCATGTTTCTCTTTCTCATTTATACTACAGTGAGAAGACAGGAGGGAATTTTATGCTAAAGGTTGGCACGTGGCACATGTTCTGTTATGGACTGAAGGTCTCCCCCGCACCCACCAAATTCATATGCTGAAGCTCTAACCCCCAAAGTGGGTGGTTTTAGAGATGATGCCTTTGGGAGGTAATTAGATATAGATGAGCTCATGAGGTGGGGCCCTGTCAGATGGGATAACAGAGACACCAGAGAGCTTGCTCTTTATCTCTTTCTCTCTCCAGCAGCATGCACTGAGGAAAGGCCAGACGAGCACACAGAGACAAGGCGGCCATCTGCAAGGCAGCAAGAAAGCTCTCACTGGGAACCAAATCTGCCAGGCTCCCCATTAATTTCTTTTTTTTTTTTTTAAAGATTTTATATATTTATTTGACAGAGAGAGACACAGCGTGAGAGGGAACACAAGCAGGGGGAGTGGGAGAGGGAGAAGCAGGCTTCCCGCTGAGCAGGGAGCCTAATGCGGGGCTCGATCCCAGGACCCTGGGATCCTGACCTGAGCCGAAGGCAGACGCTTAAGGACTGAGCCACCCAAGCACCCCCACCCGCTCCCCCCCTCCACACTAATTTCTTCTATGCCTTGGGTCAGAGAGTGCATAGGGTTTTTTCTTCAATAGGAATTGTCTTCTGGGGTCACAGTGGAAAGAGCTGTGGTGCTGAGCACACTCTTCTGTGTGCAGGTCAGGGAACTGGGTCGTTATGCCCTAAAGGTGGCACCTGCAGCATGCTTTGTTGCTTTGCCGTCTGGGACCCCAGCTGCTGAGCTCAGAGTGAAGGGATCCCATTCCATGGGCCAGATGCTGCCTCACAGTGTGGGAGAGAGAGCTATAAGCCTAGTCTGTGGCTGTGGGGTGACAAGGGCATACTTGGTCAAAGCAAGCCATGTATGTAGGGCACTATTTCATGTCTTTGCCAGGAAAATTACATTGGAAGGGCATATAAAATCCCAAAAAGTAGACTTGCGTGGTACATACACATATTTAAAAATGAGAACTTCTCCCTGTAATCAGTGAGAGAGCTCTTTTAAGCCTGTTTCCCACAAAGTCACACAACACAACAAAGGAACCAAAAGACCTATCTGATAGGAGATATTAAATATATACTCCATTTATATTGTGATAAAACACTTGCTGTTCTTTTTAGGCCTCTCAGTGGAAGAGAACGTTTGTATAAACAACCTCATTTCATTCCCAGCCTCAAATTTTTAAAATTTCATTTTTAAAGTTTTATTGTGGTCAGAACACCTAACATGAGATCTACCCTCTTGGCAGATTTTTAAGTGTGCAATCCAGTTAATGAGAAGCACATGTTGTACCGTACATCTCTAGTGCTCACTCATCTCGCATAACTGGAATTTTATACCCATTGATTAGCCACTTCCCACTTCCCCATTTTCTCAGGCCCTGGCAACCCCTATTCTATTTCTTGCTTCTATGGGATTGACGATTTTAGATACTTCGAGTAAGTGCAGTCATTCAGTATCTGTCCTTCTGTGTCTCAGTCTCAAATTTTGAAAGTATCATTTTTTTTTCCTGATAATATAATACACCATCACTGCAGAAAACTTGGAAAATACTAAAAAACCAATCCCATAGCACAAAGAAAACCTTTCAAAACATTTGGGTATGTTTTAAGATTGCCCATCTTATGATACTACCCTGCTTCAAGCCCTTCTCACCACTCCCTTCTCCCAGATGCTCACACTGAATAGGCTTCTTTTCCTTCTACTCCAGCAAGCTTTTCTGTGGCAGTGCCTCTGAACATATGGGGTTCATCCTGAGGCAGAAAACTGTTCCCTGTTCCCTAATTAACCCTGCTCATCCTTCAGATTGTATCTTTATCATCACACCTTCACAAAAGTCTTCCCTGATCCTCCTAGCCACTCCAACACCCACCTGAACATATATGATTTTACCTTGTTATGTCCTCTCTGTGCACCTTGAACTTTTCCTTTATAGCATTTGGCCAAGGCTGTAGGCATATGCCCTTTTTGTTTAAATTCCATCTCCCGGGGCGCCTGGGTGGCTCAGTCGTTAAGCGTCTGCCTTCGGCTCAGGTCATGGTCCCAGGGTGCTGGGATTGAGCCCCACATCAGGCTCCCTGCTCAGCAGGAAGCCTGCTTCTCCCTCTCCCACTCCCCCTGCTTGTGTTCCCTCTCTCGCTGTGTCTCTCTCTGTCAAATAAATAAAATCTTTAAAAATAAATAAATAAATTCCATCTCCCAACATAATCCCCAAGAGGGGGACACTTTGCCTGTTGGGTTCCCCAATTTATCCAAAGCCCCCAGTACCATGTCTTACCTATAATAAATGGAATAATATATATAAATTTACTTCCTATCTTTTAGTAGCTGTACAAATCTTTAAACATATTTTTGATTATTGTTTGAGAGAAAATTTTTAGATATGTGAGTTAGTTTGCTCAGGCTGCCATAACAAAATACCACAGACTGGGTGACTTAGGGCAGAAATTTATTTTCTCACAGTTCTGGAGGTTAAAAGTCTGAGATAAAGGTGTCAACAGGTTTGGTTTTTTCCAAGGCCTCTCTCCTTGGTTTACAGGTGGCCACCTTCTTGCTGCTCCTCACATGGTCCTCTTTCCTCTGTGTAAGCATATCCCTGGTGTCTCTCTGTGTATCCAAATTTCTTTTTCTTATAAGAGCACCAGTCAGACTGGAGTAGAACCCACCATAATGGTCTCATTTTAACTTAATTGTTAGAGGCCCTATCTCCAAATATAGTCATAATCTGATGTACTCACATAAGACTTCAATATATGAGTTTGGGGTAGGGGGACACAATTCAGCAAATTATAACATGCAATGGATGGATCCAAGGAGGGGAATATTTTAAGCCCTCTGACACACATTGCCAACAGCTTTCTAGGAAGGATGTACATATTTGTAGTCCTATCAGCAAGGAAGACAAGTGCCTATCTCCCTGCACTCTTGCCAGTGTTGGTACCATTAAATAACATTTTCTTTGATACCTGAAAGACAAAATTGTATATTATTTCATTTTCCATAGTTTTTGGCTACTAGTAAGCATCAACATTTTTTACCAGCTGGTATTTCTTTTTCTTTTACATTTATTCATCTTACATATAAAATTATTTTTAATTAAGATTTTATTTTTGGGGCACTGGGTGGCTCAGTCATTAAGCGTCTGCCTTCGGCTCAGGTCAGGATCCCAGGGTCCTGGGATCGAGCCCCGCATTGGGCTCCCCACTCTGCGGGAAGCCTGCTTCTCCCTCTCCCACCCCTCCTGCTTGTGTTCCCTCTCTCGCTGTGTCTCTCTCTGTCAAATAAATAAGTAAAAATCTTTAAAAAAAAGATTTTATTTTTAAGTAATCTCTACACCTGACATGGGGCTCAAACTCACAACTCGGAGCTCAAGAGTCACATACTCTTCTGACTGAGGTGCCCCTCATCTAGTATATATTTAATGAACTCATGTTGTGAATAGGGCAAAGCGCTGGATACTGGGATTCTAGCAGAGAATGAAACATAGCCCTTGATGTGATGGGGCATGTAGTCTAATGGAGGAGAGACATGAACAAAATCACCCAAAATATTGATTATGGTTGTGAGAAGTATCATATAGGAGGAGTATGAGACCCCAGCAGGGCATCGAACTGGGACCCGAACCACCCAGGGTGGTAGGGAAGGGTTTCTGTGAAAGTGCAGAATGAATGAAGTATGATTAACCATGTCCTGGGGTAATGAGGTGGGGTGGTGCGCTGTCATGAGCAGAGAGGACCCCCTTGTGTTGGGTAGGAGCAGTTGAGCTGGAGGAAGTGACTAACCAGTGAGGCCGTCCATGAAAGTGTGGGTGGTGCAAGATGAGGTACAAAATAAAAAGTGATCAGATGTGACTTGGTTGGTGTCCTGACTACTCTGGCTGCTCTGGGAATGACAAAATAAATGGGTAAGAGTGGATATAGGATGTCCACCATGGGAGGCTGCTTCTATAATCTGGGTGGCTTGGATTACGGTAGTAACAGTGATGCTGGAAAAGCGTGGATAGTTTTTGAGAGACATTTGAGAGATGGAATCTACTGACTTGGCAAGGGAACGTGAAGAGTGGCTCCTGAGTTACGGGTCTGAGTAACTGAGTGAATGGTGATACCATCTTCTAAGTTAGGGGACATGTGAGGAGCAGGTTTGGGGAAGAGAGGTGATGAAGTCAGATTTGCCCAAGTCAGGGTGAGTGCCAGTGGGCTACTTGGCCAGAGGGAACTTGAGGGAGCAGAAACTCAAAGGAGATGTCTGGGCTAACAACATAAATTAGGAAATCAGATGATAGCTAGAAATTGAAGCCTGAGGATGAGATATTTAGGGAGACAGTGTAATGTGAGTAAGGAAAGGAAGGGAAGGAAAACTAGTTTAGAACCTGGAGGAACTCCAAAAGTTATGAGCAGCTAGAAGGAGAAGTGAGCAAAAATGTCTAAAACACTGTGGCAGAAAGATCACCCTTGAGGGTGCAGTGGTAGAAGACAGGGAAAGATTGTTTCCGGGGGTCGGGGAGGGGGCACACGGGCTACTGGATTGAATGCTACGGAATGATTAAAGACCAAAAGTGCACAGAATTTGGCAACATTGAGATCAATATCCTGACCAAAATCAGCTTGCGTGCAAAAGCTGGATTAGAGTGAGTTGGGAAGTGAGAGAAATTGAGAGAACATTTCTTTCAAAAATTGCCTTCTCTGAGCTGTCTGTCCTTTGATTATTTTCCAGTTGTGATTTTAACATTGATGTTATTGTATCATATGACCTCTGTGTTTCCCTGTATGCATGTGAGATATACTTATTTATTTTCAGGATATTTATTAAACATTACTGACATGCAGCAAATACTTTTTAAGTTTTTAAATCTACCATTAATTTTGTTTATATTGCTTGTGATGCATATTGGCTTTATTTTTATGTAATTAAGTTAATATTTCCTATGACTTTTCCCATTGTTCTTTTGCTTAGAAATTCTTTCTCCATATAGAAATCATATAACTATTCACCGTTGTATTATTTCTTAAACATTTATGGCTTCATTAAATTTTTTTTTATAATTTTGGAAATTCTTTTTACATGTCAGTTTAAGGCATGGAATGCTTCATTATTCTACCCTCATGGTAAAGGATGAACAAAGCTAGTCTTGGGATGTTCTACTTAATGTTTTAATTAATTGATTCTACTTCATTGTAGGAGGAAGGCCCTACTGATCAAAAAGATAAAATTTCAGTTCAACATGAGATTTGTTTAGTTGGTAATGTATGGATATTCTGTCCCTGTGCTAACATTGTACCATCTCTTTATACTGCAAAAATTTTTATTCTGTATTCCCAGTTTCCTGTGCTTCCCAGAATCACATCATCTGACAGCCGTCCCAGAAGGCATTCTCATGAGGACGAGGGATTTCGATGCCATACCCACATGCTGGATTACAGAAAATGCTCAGTGGATGAGTCATTCAAGGAGCCACTGGAATCAAAAGGAAGCTCCCGTTCCAAAATTCAAGCATTTTCAGAGTCCTTTGAACAGGAACTGTGCTTTAGAACCAAATGCTCTGTCTCTTTGGTATGTAACAGAGTTATTGAATATTTAACCACTTTAGAAAAGGAAACCCAAAGGGTTCGTCCTCCCCAAGTTTGAGGAGAACAAATCTAACTTCTTCATTTACAGCCTAGTGATGAGGTCTTTGAAAAATGACAGTTTTAAATAGTCCAGATGTATATTTTTTTATTATTTTTATTGGAGACACCTGGTATAGGAAAATTCCTGGAGGACCATAGGTGGAATGTTTTTTTTACCAAGGTCCTCTGGTTCTTTGAGACTCTTTTTGTCAATCTTATAAATAATTGTGGCTTGTTCTTCTTTCACTCTTTGAAGAATGGAAAAACTACCCCAACTGTTCCTGTCCTTTCAATATTTAATCCAGTAGCAAACAGTGTATGATGGTGGTGTGTTTCCCTGTACTTCTATTTTTTTTTTAAGATTTTATTTATTTATTTGAGAGAGAGAGAGTGAGCAAGAGAGAGCACAAGCCAGGGAGGGGCAAAGGGGGAGGGAGAAGCAGGCTTCCCGCTGAGCAGGGAGCCTGATGCAGGGCTCCATCCCAGGACCCTGGGATCATGACCTGAGCCGAAGGCAGACGCTTAACTGACTGAGCCACCCAGGTGCCCTCCCCTATACTTCTAAAAAATATGCAGAAGGAATTCTCTAAACACTAGTAAGATTCCAGGAGTAGGAGCAGTCCAGGCATTCCCAGTGACCTATGGGAGTCTAAACAAAGCACAAAGGAGAGATAGACATGAAATGGGGGAAGAATAGAAACTCCATTGATGATGCCAAACTTGATACATAAAGTCATACACTAGAGGATCAATTAATTTGGGGATATTTTTTGAACTCTGCAACATGTTCACTGAGTGGCCTTGAGCAAAGTAACTTTTTTTTTTGGTTTTGTTTTTATTTTGCAAAACAGAAATACTAATATGTCTCTGCCATGTAGTAGGCAGAACAAATAAGTGACCAGGCATGTTGCTACCTGGTTCTTGAGCTACGCTCTGTGAATGTAGAGAGGAAGATGTGGCTGCTTCCTACCTCTTCATGCGTCTGAACACAGCACTTTCTGCTTAGCAGTGATGGCTGTTGGTGCTGTCACCATGCATCTTTGCCTCGTAGGTGGCACCTCACTTTTATCAGAGAGTGACCCTGTGTATGATTCCCCTTCAGCAGGCTGCTCTCTCCACCTGATCATAAGAGGAATAGGGCACTGGGTGTTATATGCAACTGAGGAATCGTTGAACACTACATCAAAAACTAGTGATATACGATATGTTACCATATCTAAATCTTATTAAGAGCTCCTGTTTTGTCTTTTCTCTATATTGTTTTAAAAAAATGGTTTCAGACTTAGAACGGTATTGCAAGAGTAGTACAAAAAAAAAAAATCCATTCTTCATTTAGATTCCCTCCAAATGTTAATGTGTTATACTTACTTATGTCCTCTCTCCCCTTCCAAGCCCCCAAACAAGGACAGGAGAACATTCTGTTACAGAAACACAGTATAATAATTAAACTCAGGAAATTAACACTAATACAATACTTTTATATCTAATTTATTGATCTCGTTCAGATTTTGCCAGTTGTCTCAAAAATATTCTCTCTTGTGAAATTCCAGATCATGTGTTGCAACCAATTTTCACATCCCTCTGATTGATTTTATTCTGGAACAGTTCCTTAGTCTTTTCTTGTCTTTCATGACACTGACATCTGAAGAATACAGGCCAGCTATCTTTTAGAGTGATGCCTAGTTTAGGTTCATCTGATATTTCCTCATGATTAGATTTAGACTATGAGCTTTCAGCAGGAATATAACAGAAGTGCCAGAATTCCTGTTTTAAAATTACATGTTCAAGTCATTAATTATATTAATTCAGGAGACATATCTGCCTTAAGTTTTTTCTGGAGCGAGTTACAGTATAAGTGTATTTTGAAAAACATTTTAATCTGAACTATTCTTTGTTGATTCTGATGTCGTCAGAAAAAAATTCATATAACAACACATCTTTTGTAACTGCTTACACGATACCATTCGCTAATATTATAAGCCCTAACAGTGTGTAAACATGAAATCAGTTCTCTTATTTAAAGAGATACTCATCACATTATCCCTAAAATATCAAATGTTAGCTAATATTTCATTTCCCAAGCTCTTCCTTTTGAGTACCAAGGCAATTAAGAAAGCATTTTCAACTTTTTGACCCAAGAACTCTTTTCACAATTCCATATAATACCTAGAAACCTGCTAGGAATTTACAAAATCATTTGATTTTTTTCATATTACATATATAAACATATAGGATAAATACTTTTATTAAATATTTTATTTTATATCAATTTTATTTTTTTTTTAAGATTTTATTTATTTGACAGAGAGAGACACAGTGAGAGAGGGAACACAAGCAGGGGGAGTGGGAGAGGGAGAAGCAGGCTTCCCGCTAAGCAGCGAGCCTGATGCAGGGCTGGATCCCAGGACCCTGGGATCATGACCTGAGCCGAAGGCAGATGCTTAACGACTGAGCCACCCAGGCGCCCCTATTTTATATCAATTTTAAAGAGTATTTTATAAAGTTTATCCTTATGTAAAATTAAAAATTTAGAACATACATATAGTTTAAAACGTGTTCTTATTTAATAATTGACATACTTTTCTAAAGCTAACTACCCTAAAAAGTGCAGTTTATCAGCAAATCTAAAACTGATTTATATTTTGGCTGGGGGCCAAATGTAGAGTAATGTGTAGATTAAAATTTTATGTCCTTCAGCATCAAAAAGATCAAGAAATTGGGGCATCTGGGTGGCTCAGTCATTAGGTGTCTGCCTTCAGCTCGGGTCATGATCCCAAGGTCCTGCTCGGCGGGGGGGCCTGCTTCTCTCTCTCCTACCCACCCCCTGCTTGTGTTCCCTCTCTCTCTGTCTCTCTCTTTCTGTCAAATAAATAAAAGTCTTTAAAAAAAAAGATAGGAAACTAATTTTGTGACCTGATCATGACCAACAACATTAAATTCTTTCATTTTGGTATTGAAAACCTCAGTTGTCTTATTTTGATAATTTTTACATTTTGTTTCTAAATAATGATATAAGAAAAAAGATTTCAGCTCATTATTTACAAGCATTTCTCAGATAGTCTTTATTCTCAATAAGGGAAAAGCCATTGCTTTATTTTGAAAATAATCATCACTGTATTTTCTCTTTTTTATACTGCTCTTATAAGTATTGGAGATATTCATGACTGCTACATATGAACTTTGATCAGGCTGATGGATCTAATACAACTGCTAGGTCTAATGAAAATAATCTGGGGGTACATTTACAGAACTAGTACAATTTTTAAGTTTCTCTTAACCTGTATCTCAGCTTCATCATTTGTTTCACTTTGTGACTTTGGCCACTGGACCAATATAGATAGAAATGAAATAATCTAGGTATAAAAACAATTTAGCATTGAAGAGTAGCTGACATCACCGCAGTAATCAGACACCCTCATAACTCAGCCTGCAGGGTTGAGTCATGATCTTGCTCATCTGACTGGTACTCATCACAGTGCATATTCACCTGATAGACCTTTGGGTGTTCCCCAGCATTTCCAGTTCGCATGAAGGAGGGGAAGAGTCATGACGTTATTTATTTTTAAAAATAGAAGTATAGGTAGATGCCATCATCACATTTATCAATGCCATTCTTTAGTCAGTAATTCCTTCGAAAGACGCTCCTTGACCATGGAAACGAAGAAGACTTCCCCCTTCCCACCCCATACTTCCCTATCAGGTCACCCTGTTTGCTCATTATCATTGCACTTATCACTATCTGTGATCTTCTTGTTTCTTTTTAGGCTTATTGACTGTCACGCTCCACCTAGGGGTAATATTGAAGAAGTAGGGTTTCTTAAGTTAGTGCTGTATCTCCTGATCTTAGAACAGTAGTACGTGTTCAATAAATCAGTGAATGTGGACCCCTGGGCAACCAGCTGGGGAATGTTAATGTGCCTGGATGTCATTTCCTGAACACTTCATTCTTTACATAGTCTTCACATTAGAACCTAACACAAACCCTACTGTTAATGTAATTTAAAGAAGTAGACACTGGGAGGTTAGAATCATTCTGTATATGTTTCACTTGCCCCATTCCTTTTCAGAAAGCACCAGGAGACTATTAATTATATCGTACTGTGAAACACATCCCTCTATAGGTCAGAGTTGTGTACAGGTTGAGTTTCCTCCATAGATCGTCCGCTGACACCCAAGGCCCCATTCCTTTTATTTATGACTGAAACATTTAGCAACACCCTTGGGCTTCTGCTAATTTATTATGAGAAACTAAGATGTGGAAGTCTACTAAATGACCAGGGCTTTGTTCATTTCTAAGAGTTAGGAGAAATGTGGCTCGTTGTCAGCTGTCAGCACATTTCTACCCTTTTTCTGAACTTTCTTTTTCAGGGACCTGAGAGCAGAAAGGAGAGGAGCAAAAGGGAATGCCTGAGGATGGAGATGAAATCTCAAAAGAAAGTGGAGGAAAGAAGGAACCCTAGGAAGGAAGAACATGGAGAAGCATACATGCCCCCCTTGCTTGAAAAAGATCCCAAATAGTATTTTGTTTCCACATCACGTCTCCAGATGCCACTGTGGTTTTCGGGCCCCAGTACGCCAGGCCAGGTAGTGGTAGCTGTGAAGGAGTGCCCACAGAGGCTGAGTGACTGCAGGGGGCGGTCGGTGCCTCTGCTCCCCCACATGACTCACACCCAACTCTGACTGCTTCTGATGTCTTAGTTGAGAGTGTGATCTGCTCTGTTGTCCTTTTATGGGACTAAGGAGAATGAAAGGTATTTTAATAGAATAAGTTATTCTTAAAAATGTAAAGAAAGATATTTAAAGAACCACCCACCCATCTTCGCTAACTCTTCTTCCGCATCAACCTGGCAAATAATTTTAAATAAAAGTCATTGATGTGACTCTAAGTTTACTTCTTTTTCAGAAGTAATTATGTAAGTATGTCTACCGGCTGTCATTTAATGAGAACTGGTAATTAACACACCAGGTACTATGCCGAGTTCTTCAATGCCTTACCTAAAATAATCCTCACTACTCTGAGGTGGGACCTATTCTTTTCACTTGCTAGCTGAGGAAATGGAAATTTAGGCACGTCCAGGAACTTATTGGTGAGGTGGCAGAGTTAGGGCCAGAGCCCAGTTCATTGTGACTCATGGTCCTAACCTGAGGCAGGACCTTCATTTCCCTTTAGCTCTGGCTCCTAACTTGGTGTTTGTGTGTATGATGTACATGGAATGAGTGGATGTAAATGAGAAAAGCAGGAGCTGGGAGGAGCTTATGCTAATGACTTTTACACGGGTGGAGACTGATTTTTCTGAGGTCAGCTTTATGCTCTGGGTTTTAACTTTATGAGACCATATTCTTTTTTTTTTTTTAAAGATTTTATTTATTTATTCATGAGAGACAGGGAGAGAGAGAGGCAGAGCGAGAAGCAGGCTCCCAAGGAGCAGGGAACCCGATGCGGGACTCGATCCCAGGACTCCAGGATCATGACCCGAGCTGAAGACAGACGCTTAACCATCTGAGCCACCCGGGCGCCCGTATGAGACCATATTCTTATTTATTTATTTTTATTTTATATTGAGACATAACTGACATATAATGTCATATTAGTCTCAGGTGTACAACATAATGATTTGATATTTTTAATATATTGTGATATTATCACCACAATAAGTCTAGTTAACATCCATTGTCACACATAGTTACAAAATTTTTTTCTTGTGATAAGAACTTTTAAAATCTACTCTCTTAGCAACCTGCAGATATACACTATTACTAGCTATAGTGACCATGCTTACCTTACATCCCATGACTTATTTAAAAAATATGGAACGCTTCATGAATTCACGTGTCATCCTTATGCAGAGGCCATGCTAACCTCTGTATCCTTCCAATTTTAGTGTATGTGTTGCTGAAGTGAGTACTTCTCTTGTTTCTTAATTTTCAGCTTTATTGAAATATAATGGACAAATAAAATTATGTTTTAGATTGTACAAACATGATGATTTGACATATGTATGTTTTGTAAGATGATTACCACAATTGGGTTAATTAACACATTGAGGCCATATGCAATCACTGTTTTTCTTCCCAAAAGAAAAGATACTACAATTCCTCCTATTTATTTTTTTATATTGAAGTATAATTGACATTTAACATTCTATTAGTTTCAGGTGTACAACATAATGATTTGATTTTTGTATACTTTGTGAAATGATCACCACAGTAAGTCTCATTAACATCCATCATCACACATAGTTATAAGACCTTTTTTTCTGATGATGAGAACATTTTTTTTTCCTTTAAAAAACCCAGCTTTAGGGGCGCCTGGGTGGCTCAGTCGTTAAGCATCTGCCTCCAACTCAGGTCATGACCTCGGGGTCCTGGGATCAAGCCACACGGGCTCCCTGCTCAGTGGGGAGCCTGCTTCTCCCTTTCCCTCTGCCTCTCCCCCGGCTTGTGCTCTCTTTCTCTCTCGCTCAAATAAATAAAATAAAATAAAATAAGATAAAATAAAATAAAATAAAATAAAATAAACCCCCAACCCCATACCAGCTTTATTGTGGTATCATTGATATCCCAAAACTACACAGATTTAATGTACACAATTTGATGAGTCTGGACATATGTATACACCCATGGAACCGTCACCACCAACTATCAGTTCTTCTTTACTCCTCTGAATGCTCTGAAGCATGGCATTTCTTAACTACTTCCACAATTCATACAAGTCCTCCCTTCTTAGGATGGATCCTTTTCAAATTTTTTTTTAAGTAGGCTCTACGCCCAGCATGGAGCCCAATGTGGGGCTTGAACTCACGACCCTGAGCTCAAGACCTGAGCTGAGATCAAGAGTCAGACACTTAAATGACTGAGCTACCCATGCACCCCAGTATGGATCCTTTTTTGAAATTAGCTTAAGACGAAATTAGTACGTTTGAGAAAGTTTTTCTCGCAGACACATAGGATGAGAACTTTTAAGATCTACTCTTTTAGCAACTTTCAAATATGAAACACAGTATGTGATGATAGTCACCATGCTGTACATGACATTCCTATGAATTTTTATTTTATGGCTGGGAGTTTGTACCTCTTGATCCCCTTCACCCATTTCACTCACTCCTTTATCCCCCTCCTCTCAGGCGACAACCAATCTGTTCCGGGTATCTACGAGTTTTGTTTTATTTGTTCATTTGTTTTGTTTTTTAGAGTTTACATGTAAGTGAAATCATACAGTATTTGTCTTTCTGTTTCACTTATTATTCACTTAGCATAACGCCCTCAAGATCCATTCATATTGTTGCAAATGGCAAGATTTCATAGTTTTGTGACTAACATTCCATTGTATATATACACCACATCTTTACACATTTATCCATTGGTGAACACTTAGTTTGTTCTGTATCTTGGCTATTGTAAATAATGCTGCAATGAGCACAGGGGTAGGTATTTTTTTTTCAATTAGTGTTTCTGTTTTCTTCCTATAGATGCCCAGCTGGATCATACGATAGTTCTGTTTTTAATTTTTTGAGGAACCTCTATACTGTTTTCCTTAGTGGCTGCACCAATTTACATTCCCGCCAACAGTGCACAATTGTTCTCTTTTCTCCACATCCTCACCAACACTTGTCATTTTTTGTCTTTTTGATAATAGCCATTCTGACAGGTATGAGGTGGTATCTCATTGTGGTCTGATTTCTATTTCTCTGATGATTAGTGACGTTGAATATATTTTCATGTGTCTGTTGGCTATCTGCATATCTTCTTTGGAAAAATGTCTATGCAGGTCCCCTGCCCATTTTCTCTATTTATTCTTTGTTTCTGTCTTGGCTCTTCAAATACCCAAGGGCAGCCAGAGTCTCCATTTTGTAAAGAATATCTCCACAAACTAGTCATAATACTACAATTGGTTGCTTATGTAAAACACAAAGTAACTTTGTTACAGACAGTAAAAAGAAGGAAAAGGAAAAAGAAAAAAAAAAGGGAGAGGAAAACAGAGAAAAGTAAAGTAGCAATTATCTTTGGTTTGTATTTTTTCAATTTTCTTTTTAAAAATTTTATCTTAATTCCAGTATAGTTAATATACAGTGTTAAATTAGTTTCAGGTGTACCATATAGTGATTCAACAATTCTGTACATTACTCAGTGTTCATCAAGATAAGTGTATGCTTTAATCCCCTTCACCTATTTCACCCATCCCCCTCCATCCCCCTCCCCTCTGTTCTCTTCAGTTGAGTCTATTTTTTAGTTTTTCTCTTTTTTCTCTTTGTTTTGTTTCTTAAATTCCACATATGAGTGAAATCATATGGTATTTGTCTTTCTCTGACTGGCTTATTTTGCTTAGCATTATACTCTCTAGCTCCAACCATGCTGTTGCAAATGGCAAGATTTCATTTTTTTCTATGGCTGTATAGAAATTGTATATATATATATATATACCACATCTTCTTTATCCGTTCATCTATCAGTGAACTGTTGAGCTGTTTCCATACTTTGGCTATTGTAAGTGATCCTGAAATAAACATAGGGGTGCATATACCCTTTTGAATTAGCGTTTTCATATTCTTTGGTAAATACCCAGTAGTGCAATTACTGGATCATATGGTAGTTCTATTTTTAATTTTTTCCTTTTTTTATTATGTTATGTTAATCACCATACATTACCTCATTAGTTTTTGATGTAGTGTTCCATGATTCATTGTTTGTGCATAACACCCAGTGCTCCACGCAGAACGTGCCCTCTTTAATACCCATCACCAGGGTAACCCATCCCCCACCCCTCCCCTCTAGAACCCTCAGTTTGTTTTTCAGAGTCCATAGTCTTTCAGGGTTCATCTCCCCCTCCGATTTCCCACCTTCATTCTTCCCTTCCTGCTATCTTCTTCTTCTTTTTTTTTTTCTTAACATATAATGTATTATTTGTTTCAGAGGTACAGATCTGTGATTCAACAGTCTTACACAATTCACAGCGCTCACCATAGCACATACCCTCCCCAATGTCTATCACCCAGCCACCCCATCCGTCCCATCCCCCACCACTCATACTCTTTTCCACGGTGGCTGTACCAGTTTGCATTCCCACCAACAGTGCATGAGGGTTCCTTTTTCTCCACATACTCACCAACATTTGCTTCTTGTGTTTTTGATTTTAGCCATGCTGACAGGTGTGAGCATCTCATTGTGGTTTTATTTTTTATTTAAAGATTTTATTTAAATTCCAGTTAACATATGGTATAATATTAGTTTCAGAAGTAGAACTTAGTGATCCATCACTTACATATGACACCCCGTGCTCATCACAAGTGCCCTCCTTAATACCCATCACCTATTTAACCCATTCCCCTGCCCACCTTCCCACCAGCAACCCTCAGTTTGTTCTCTATAGTTAAGAATCTGTTTTATGATTTGCCTCTCTCTTTTTTTATCCCTCCTATGTTCATCTGTTTTGTTTCTTAAATTCCACATATGAGTGAAATAATATGGTATTTGTCTTTGTCTGACTGACTTATTTCGCTTAGCATAACACACTCTGGCTCCATCTACATCATTGCAAAAGGCAGATTTCATTTTTTTGATGGCTGAGTAATATTCATATATGTAATTTGCCACATCTTCTGTATCCATTCATCAGTCAATGGGCATGGGCTCTTCCCATAATTGGCTATTGTTGATAATGATGCTATAAACATCGGGATGCATGTGTTTCTTTGAATCAGTATTTTTGTATCTTTTGGGTAAATACCTAGTAGTGCAATTGCTGGGTCACGGGGTAGTTCTATTTTTAACTTTATGAGGAACTTCCATACTGTTTTCTGGAGTGGCTGTACCAGTTTGCATTTCCACCAACAGTGTAGGAGGGTTCCCCTTTCTCTGCATCCTTGCCAACACCTGT